TTCATTTTTTCCAGATCCCCTTTTGTTGCCAGTTCAGTGGGTCCAGGTGGTTGAGTATCAGAGTGTTCCATCTCATTTCCCTTTGGTGTTGCTGTAGGTGATCTGGAAGTCTGGTTTTGAGACTAATTTACGTGTTTTCTCATTTCGACTGCGGGGAGGGTGGGGGGGGCTGTTGGCTCCTGCACGGATTACCTCCTCTCAGCTGGGAGAAGTGGGCCAGGGGCTGGGAGCAGCGGTAGGTCTGGTGGCCCAAAAGCCCCTTCCTCTGTGCTGGGAGTGGCGAGAAGGTTGGCGTTGTGGAAGCTCCTTCCTCTGGACCAGGAGCGGTGGGACCGCCGGTCAGAAGCTCCTAACTCTGGGCAGGAATTCTTTAAATGCTGAGAACTTGATTAGCTCCAGTATAGTGGTCTAGTGGTCCGGTGTCCTCTCTGTCTTTGTAGTGTGGAACCAGGTGGCTGTACAGAGAAGAGGCCAAAGGAGTGTGTGGGGGGTCCAGTGGATTGCTGCCGGGCATGGGCTGATTCCGTGTTTTCAGCGCGACTGAGGACCTCAGGACTGGGTGTGTAGACCTGCCTGTCTGCAGCAGGCTGATTCAGTGTTTACAGCGCGACTCCAATTGGTCATTTCTTTAATTTCTCTGAGCCACCTGTGGCAGATGTCCATTAAACAATTAAGTGATTCTGGTGCCCTGCTTATCTGTGAGTGACTCTAGATCTAGGGGCCACATGGCAACCCACTCGGGACTTTCCTGGAAGTCTAGGAGCTGTTTTTCCTCTTTTTATTTGTTTTCTTTTCTTTTCTTTTCTTTTTTTGTACCAGGGATCAAACTCCAGACCTTGTGATTGCGAGGCAGGCAGCAGCACCACTGAGCTAAATCCCAGGCCCTACTCTTGCTATTTCTAATAAAAACACTCCTAACCTTCTCCTTTGGTTCTTGACTTCATTTTGTGACACTTAGAGAACCACATGCCTGGTACACATGGTAACAGTATCTACAGTGGTGGTGGTGGCTGCACTTGAAAGAACCATGCTGGCTCTCTGCTATGGACAATCGTGGCAAGAGTAGGGGCTTCACTCTGCCTTTGGTAGCTCCTGGAGTTATTCCTGCTTCACCTGGAAGTGCTATGCTGAGGTTTAAGGAACAAGGACACGTCAGTTCTAATTACAGTTTATTCATTCCATACTATGTGATCCTTTAGGCCCAGGTTTCCAGCTCATTTCCAGTGATGAGTACAGAGCATCCAAAAGAGCCTTTCCAGTGTTGAGATTGTATGATCACAAAATATGATGAATGTTTAAACTAAAAATTTTATTATGGAAAAAGACATATTGCCACTCGCAAAATACTCATAAGCATTCCCCCTTGCGTAGAACACACCTATCCCACAGTTCTTGGCAAAGTATCTTTTACTACAATAAGTTTTTTTAAACTTAAAACTTCACTATATCTTTTGATAACCCCTTGTGTTCCTTTTCATGATCATTCCAGACACCCAAAATTTTAATTTTTAATTCATTTTATTTATTGTTGATAAACATCTATAGGCTGCATGTTTTTTAGTTATAAACAATGAGTTTTGTTTTTACTACTGACATAATTAGCTTTTGTGACCCTGAAATGTCTATTTCCATCAAAAGGTTTGAAGAAAAAAATAATTTCTAGGTTTCTATGTAGTATTATTGTCTTAAATATTTGTATTTTATAAAATCACAATTGATTTTAAAATGTCAAACATTAATAAATATCTTCTTTGCCACCTAAAGATTATTTCTATCCTTCAATTTCCTAAAGAACAGTACATTTTGAACATGTGAAAAAAATGTATGAAGATTTTATTAGTCACGGTTCTTCAAAGAAACAGAACCATTAAATATTTGTGTGTGGAGAGAGAGAGAGAGGGAGAGAGGGAGAGAGAGAGAGAGAGGCTGGTATTTTAGGCTTGTGCAATTGTGGAGCTTGTTAAGTCCAAACTCTCCAAGGCTGGTGGGCTGGAGCCTCAAGACGAGATGTAGTTTGAGTGCACAGGCGGTCTGTTGGCAGAATTCCTTCTCACTCAGAGGGAGGTCAGTCTTTTTGCAATTGAGGCTGGAGGAGGGTAGTCTGCTCTGCTCAAAGTCTGCTGACTTAAATGCTAATTATCCCCCAAAATACCTTCACAGAGACATCTAGAATAGTATTTGACCAAATATCTGGTTACTGTAGCCTAGCTAAGTTTACACATGAAATTAACCATCACAAAGATCTTGCATTGGGGAAGTGTTAAAATGAGCAGGGCAGACAGTGAATGTATGGATTGTCACTGAGAGCAAGGAAAACCTGCTAGCTAGAGAAACTGGGGAATGGTTCACAGAAGTAGAGCAGCTTACACTGTGCCTAGGGATAGGGAAAAGGGTGACGCCTTCTATCTTCTTTCTCCCCATGGATTCAGTGAATGGCAGAAGTGTAGGAAAGGAGGCTTCTTCCTGGTCTTTCTTGTGTTATTGTTCTCAGTGAGCAGACACTTACCTTCCCTATGAGCCTATCTGAAACCTAATTAATTATTTTAGATGAATTTAGACAGCAAAAATCTTTCAGAACAAAATAGGAAGCTAGTGAACCAAGCAACCAGAGCTAACATTTTAAAGTATTTACTATAATTTTTAGGCACTGTGTTGAGCATATTATCTAATTTAATGGACACAAGATACAACAATTTAAAGTAGGTCTGTTATCTCCATTTTAAAGATAAAGAAAGAAACTCAGAATGATTAAATCCTTGCCCCAAGTTACACAGCTAATTACAGGGGAAGCCAGGATTTAAACCCATGCCTGGTTGCTAAGATTTTAGCCACCAAACTTGATATAAAAAAAGGAAGGAAGGAAGGAAGAAAAAATACTATAAAGATAAGAAATTGGCAATGTTTAAATGTAATCTTAATTTGGACCCCCCTAGAGCAAATTTGAGACAAGGTTTTGGATATACAAGGTGTAGTCAAAAATACGGTGAATGTTAAACATTTTTTAAAATGTATTATAATAAAAGACATATTGCCATTGATCCCTCTCAAAATACTCAAAAATTGTTATCCAATTGTTCTTACTACTTCCTGAAGCAATTCTGGGAGTCTTGTTTTGCATCTTTAGCTGCCTCTGTGTCCTGAATTGACTCAAAACCTTGACCTTTCATGATCATGACTTGGGGAAGAACCAGAAGTTGCACACAATACCAGATCCAGTGATTTAAGTGAATGAGGACACCACCGTAATGTTTTTACAAGCCTGCCTTTCTTTTCAATGGAACACAGCATTCACCATATTCTTGATCACATCTCATAAAGACATGAAAGAGGACTCTCAAAACTGCTTCAGAAAGTAGCAATACCTACGGAATAAGTGTGTTTGAAGCCAGGGGGAGTATTTTGAAGGTGGTTGACAGCAATATATCTTTTACTGTAATATATCATATTTAAACAATTACCATATTTCTTGGTCATCTTGTATATCTAAGCTCCTATGGAAGGTGATCCCAGGAATAATAGTGAAGGTCTGAAGAAGTAGACAGAGAAGAAGAGCTGATAAAGGGTGTATTGATGCTTTCATCACTGTGGGGCCTCAGTCCCCTGGGAACTCTCTGGGAGACTCTGTAGGACACACCTCAGAAATGAGCCAACAAGGAGCAAGGAAGCAGGCATACTTATCTACCAATTCTGCTCTCAGTGGATGACCATCACTCTTACAGCTGCTCATAGTCTGGCACTTCTGGCCTGCAGCACGCCTGGGTCGAGAAGCACACACAGGTGCTTCAGGAAAGAAGTCCTCGTTGTGTCTGGCAAACGTTCACTGAGGGTACTGTGACTTTCAGGCTGGGACCCTAGGATATAAGTGGAACATTGAGGGTATCTGCCACAGTAAGTGAATTCAAAACAGTTAATAACCAAAAACATGCTTTATTATGTTATGATAGCTTATTTCATAAATAGATTTCTGCTTTAGTAAAATTGCATCATAAAATGTTAGTTTTTACTTTTTAAATTCCCAATTTAAGGAATGCTAATGTTAAAAAAGAAAAGGAACTGAAATGATATTCATTTCTAATAAACTATAATTGATTATAGGTTCATGTGTTAGACAGTATTAGTAGGCTTAGTGAGGCTGATTCAGCATTTCCCTGAGCAATCACTAGCCCTTGTCAAATAAATAATTGCTGCTGTTCCTCATGCCAGAGACACACAGACCACTTGTGTGGATATGATTGGATCATTCCTGGCCCCCCTCCAGCTGTTCTGGAGGATACTTCCTTGACCCTTTGAAGGGCATCCCAGTGATTTTTCAAAGTGAATTGTGTATATACCCTTGTGACCTAATTTCTTTAAAAAATTGTATATAGATACATAGATCTATATCTGTCTAAACACATTTCACAAATTTGGTAAAAATCTGTTCAGCTCTTCTTCTGTGATGTAACAATGAAAAAACAGAAACACTATTTTACTTACAGAGACCTCATTTTATTTATATAGATAACAAACTGGATTTCAGTACTGAAATAAGCTAACAGTAAACAGCAAAACCACAATTTCCTCAAAGGATAGAGGCTACAGCTATTTAAAAATGTTTGTTTCCTTGTCATTTGACTGTAGTTTTTAATCAGTTCTAAATCATGAGTTCTGATAAGTGTTTTCCACAGCTTTTTGGAGTAGGGGAAGAGGAGGTCCAAATCCTTTCCTTTTAATTTTTGAATTCTGTGTGATGACTTCCTAAGTAGTGATTTCCATAGACGATTAAAGATTGTCAGTGGAAAAGCAAAATGTTTGTTATGGAACAAATGAGAAATTTATTACAGAATTTTTAGAACAATCTTCCAGAAATGTGGAGAGACAATAAAGAGGATTTTGAAAAATGGGAAGATAGAGAGAGATGCCTGTTCAGTATAATTGAGTTAACCTGACGATATCCTCCTGGAAATACTCAATTAAAATCATATCCTAGGCTAAAAGAACCTTTAGCTTTCTAGCCTTGAGTTCATTTCCTATAAATACCTCAGCCACTAAGTTTATTTAGTAGAGGCTGCAGTTACTGCCTCATAAAAAAGAAAGCACCCACAATTTATCGCCTTAAGGAGAAAGATTGATATTTAATCTAGAGGTAGATTTGAAAGTAAAAAACGCCCCAGAGTTTGAAAAGTTGAAAACTACACTTGTAGATGGGAAGTATATATTCACTCTACAAAAGTTTTTTAAACTTCTAATAAAGATGGACAGAAGATCCAAATATGTTTTAGAATGTAATTTTTATTTAACAGTTGTCACCATGGTACTTTCTTTAAATCTAGAAAAGTGCCTTAAAGGATAATTATCCTGAAATTATCCTCTAATTATCCTTACTGAATAATAAATTAAGAATGAATAATAAAATTAATAATTATAAAATTAAGTAATAAATTAAGAATGAATAATAAAAGACCCCATCCTTTTTCCATCATAATCAGAGTCACTGTCCTAATTTAACATTCAGTATTTGAACCCACCTAGGTGGCCAATCCTTTGAAAATTTACAGTGGTTTTAAAAAAATTTTTAACTGCAAGTTCATTAGGCAAAAGCTGAATCTAAACATGTCAGACTTTGTACTTTGTGAATACAAAGTTACTTGAGAAATTCTTGGCTTGTCTTCTTGGTCTGCATATATTTCTTGGATTTCTGCTGCAGCCTATTTTAATAATCAGCTTAAATCAGCACACTGAGAATGCAGAATATATCCTACTTATCCTTTGCAACTGGTCTTTTTTTTTTTTTTCTGTGCTGGAGCTCGGACCCAGGGCCGTGCACATGTTAAGGATATACTCTAACATTAAGTTCCACCCGCCACCTCTGTAGGATTATTTTAATTTTAGTGTATGTTTACTGAGAAAGTTAAGTATTTGAAATGAAAAAAATCTTCACTAGAAAGAACAAAATAAAATATAACCATTCTCAAAACTTGGTATAAAAATTTTAAATCTTACTTAGGGTGTGGTAAAAACAGAGTCTATCTTATTTATTGTTATAGCTAAAAAAACAAAAACAGAACTGCTCTAGAACAGGTAGGAAGACAGTACTGCATTTCTTTCTTTCTTTTTTTTTTTTTTTGTGGTACCAGGATCAAAATTGGGATCTTGTGCTTGTGAGGCAGGCGGTGGAACCACTGAGCTAAATCCCTGGCCCCAGCACTGTATTTCTTATGCCACTATGTCTATGTTAATGGGAAAATAAGCCCAGTGCATAGATATTAAGGATATTTTCATTGTGTTGGATTTTATAAATTCAAGCATAAATAAGTTTCAGATAGTATCAATTAAAAGTGCTTATTTATAGATAACAGAGTTATTGTACTTATGCCCTCCATTATCTTTCTTCATTTTCCATTTTTAGTATAACATTTTTATTGTTTTAACCCAGACATTTTTTCCTCTGTCTTTTGTGGCATCCTTCTTTTTTTCCAAGGATTTCAGTACATTTATTGACTCTGCACATTGCACTTTTTCTCATTAAGCCAGTAGTTGACAGAAGAAACCTTCTATATCTGCTACTGCCATGAGCCCAACTGTAATCCCACAGTGCCATTTTCTGAAGTGTTCAATAGTTGAAGATACTTGATTTACCAATTAAATAAGACAAAGAATTTATAAATGTTTCTGAATGTTCAGTTATTCTTTCCAAAGACCAAGACACATCAGCTCTGTGGACCTCAGAGAAAGGGTTAGAATACACAATCTGTAAGTTTTCCTTCAACTCTAACTTTGTAGGTGTTCAACTTTGAGATCAGAATGCTTACGTGAATCCCAATTATTTCTTTATCACCTTGTGAAACTTATTTAAGTGTTCAGTGAAGCCAGGTGTCATGGCACACACCTGTAATCCCAGTACTCAAGAGGCTGAGCCAGGAGGATCAACATGAGTTCGAGGCCAGCCTGGGCTACATGATGAGTTCAAGGCCAGCTTGAATTGGATAGCAAGACTCTGTCTTAAAAAGCAAAAGGCAAAAACAAAAAAACAAAACAATAAAAAAAGCTTTTTTAAAGTGATCACTATTTAAGTAAAAAAATAACAAGGTATTGTAGTGCTTATAACACATATAGAACTAAAATTTATAATATGCCAACAATAGCATAAAGTAGGAGAGGAGAAAAATGGAAACATACTGTAACATAGTTCTTAAAATATACTTTGAAGTGCAAAATGAAAGTTAGATAGTAGAAAATATGGAGATAAGTCTTTTGTAAAGAGGTGGGAAGGAGATGAAAAAAGAATGAAGATGTGTTATGTACAGGTACCAATTCCTCAAGATGGTTGTAGTTCTTATGTACCACAGACATAGACTAATAAAAAGTTTTAAAATATATATACTTTGAAATAGTATAATATTATTTAAAGGTATACTGTGATAAAGGTGTATATTTAAACCCTCGAGCAATAAATGGAAAACTGTAGCCCATGAGTCAAAATGAACTGTTGTTTTATAAATAAAAGTTTTATTAGAACACAGCCAAGACCATTTGCTTCTGTGTATGTACGGCCCGCAATGCTAAAATATTTACTTTCTGGTCCTTTACAGAAAAACGTCCTACGCCTGCCTTAGAACAGCCACTAAAAACCCCAACAAAACGAAGTAGAGCTAGAAAGTCAATGGTGGCATAAAGTGGAAATTACAAACACAAACCCCTATTGATCTAAAAGAAGACAGAAAAAGAGAGGGAGAGTAACAAACTCCCTGCTGCACCCTGTACAACTGGGCATCCCTCGTCCACCGTATCGCCCACAGTGAGCCTCTCGCCCTTATCGACCTTCTCCAACTCCGCCTGGACTTCCTTCTCCTCCCCTCGCTGCTCATTCTTAGGCTTTCTTGCCAGACTCCCCTTCCTCTGCTCTCTGTGAGCTGCTGGCCTCCTCTCCCTCACTATCCCACTTAGTGAGCTTGTCTGCCAACTGTCACATGCGTCCTCCTCTCTGGACACACAGAACCATCTCCAGTTTTAACTCTCCTGCTTTTCCATGCATTCAAGTCTTCGTCTGTAATAATAGTTCCTCTTCTTGGACCTCCACACTCTTTCCATCCCCATCCCACCCTGCTATTGCCCCTGTCCTGGGGCTAATTCTTTACAGAGTTAAGCCCTCACTCAACTGTAGGATTCAATTTAGACAGGACCTCATCCACCATAAGCCCATAAGTCTTCCCTCACGCCACCCACACGTGCCCAAGCAACTGCCATTAAAACACTTACTGCTCTGAATTATAATGATTTATTTACTTGTGTTTCTTCTCCATGTAACTTTGAATATCCTTAAGGTCAGGAGGAATGCTTTGGTTTTTTTTATCCCCCAGTATAGCACCTATACCAGTGGTACCTATAGTACCTAGACAGAGTAGGTGTTGAACACATATTCATTAATTAGCTAAATGAAAGTTTAAATGAACATCTATTTGTAAAATGAGGATATCATAAAATAATGGGAGCTAATATTTGTTAAAGGATATTTGGGTGCCAGGCACTTTCCAGTGTGCATTATATACTTTAAATAATTTCCTTTATATAGCAACCCCATTAGGTAGGTATTAATATTATCTTTATTAATTTTTTTTCACTTTGTTTTGTGTGTTTTGTTTTGTTTTTTGAGACAGGGTCTTGCTATCTAGTTAAACTCTAAACCCTCCTGCTTCAGCCACTTGAGTATTAGATGTACAGATGTGTGTCATCATTTCCAGCTTTAAAACGTTTTTAAATGAGAAAAAAGCATCATTTTTTATTTATGCACTGATTTATAATTTCCAGGGCTCTTCATTTCTTGTTTAGATCCGGGTTTCCATCTGGTGTCATTTGCTTCCGCCTCAGTTGG